GAAGCAGACTGGACAGCTTCCTCAAGCTGGCGTTATCACTCCCTCTAACCACTCTTGGCAGGCAATCTAATTCCCCCTGAAAAGGTCACCGCCATTTTAACTGCCTTTCAATCACATTAAGCACGCTGCCGCTCGTGCTCAGAGCACTGCGCGCTTCCTGCCCCTCTCCTGGACCAGCCGCCTTCCCGCAACAGACAGAGAGAGACCAAGGGACAAAATCCTCTCCTCAAATCCGAAGCAGCAGAAGGGAGACAGCTAACCTGGCATTTACTAATCTTTGTCCCATCTGCTAAGGAACAGAAGGGTGCAAACACCGCCCCCCGCCATCCCTAGACCTAGAGAGGTAGCGACTTCACAGGACGGTTTGCTTAGGCACCGGTCCAGACACCTTTGAAGCTGTGTTACAAAGAACAAGCCTCCCTCAATGCAATCATTACCGTTATCTCTCCCCCTGTGCTGCTTTTTTTTTTTTTTCTTTGCAGTTACGAGTTATGTGTTCCACCCATCGATCCCTGTGTAAGACACTGTTTTAAGTCCTCTTGCCTTTTGACTGTGCTAAGCCGTTTAAGAGATGACAGCGGCTTCTATCAGTGCGAAGCTGATGCGATTCTTTTCAGATAAAGCACTTTTTTTTCCACTCCCCCCCTCCCTTTCCCTTCTTTCAAGTAAGAGACATACACACAAAAAGAGACACTGAATCTTTCAAAGAAAAAAAAAACCCTTTTGAACTTCCCTCAGGAATTCTTTAAAGGGATAACCTTACAGTGTAAACACTGAGGGTAACGTGCATCCATTCTGGAGAGGGAACAGAAGAACTGCTACAAATATGTTGAGTGTTAAAAAAAAGCCAAACCATCAGAGAGAGAGAGAGAGAGACACTTGATGCTTTCACTTGCAAAGCCTTGTTGGCTTCCTAAACACAGAAAGTCATTAGACAACGATGGCATGAAATAATCCCTTGCAACAAAGAGCTTCAGAGAGGGACGATCCAGAGACGTGAGGACAGATGATTACTGGATGTTCAGGTATTTCAAGAGAAATTTGAGTCTTGCGACACTATTCTGATAGGGAAATACTTGATTATTACATCTGTATAGCTTTTCACTTTGAAGCACAAGCTTGATTTAAACAGCACTTGGTGTTTCACGGTAACCTTCTGCACCCATCCCACACAGAAGCAAGAACTCTCCTGCTACAAACCCCTACTTCAAGTAGGACCTCTGCTGAAACAAAGTGATTTCAAATCCTGTATAACTGCCAACGATCTTCCTTTACACCCTGCATTCTTCCAGCTTTGGGTAAGCAAGTTAAGCGATAGCAAATGAGGCTTTAAGAAGCCAGGAGGACATCTAGAAGTACTGAATAATTCCTGACCTAAATGCGTTCACTAAACGCAACAGCTTAAGAGACAACATACTGATCCCAGCACTTCTCAGTTATGTCATATTCCTACTTGCTGCCACCTCTTCTTCTTTCCACCTGCCACCTCAAGTATGCCAAGCCGTGGTGAGCAAGAAGGTGTGCTTTGGCTCTGCCCCAATAGACCCAAATGGGGATTTGCATCTGCAACACCAACACAGAAGACAAGAATTTCCACTTTCTAAGACAGCCTGTCAGGTGAGAAGAGCAAGTCTTCCCTGCAAGCTCTTTGGAAGCAAGAAAGCTTCATCCTAGGAACGAGTGAGAGTTTCAGCCTGTGATTGCTCCCAAGTATTAGACCACCTTCCAGAAAACCTGAGCAGGGCTGTTCGTGTCCCTAACCTCTCTGACTTCAAGAAGAATAATCTCAAGATCTTCCAACCTTCCCCCACCTGAGAACATGGCAGGATCTTTGAATTAATTAGCAAAGTTTTCCTCACCTTGAGTGTGATATAAACTTTGTCCATTAACCAAAAATGACAAAAAGAAGCAGACAGGACCTGTGTTAAGTTTGAGTCACTTCTGTAGTACTGCCCAATGGTCTGACCGACTCATGCAACACACGCTGGCCACAGCATCCTGCTCCCCCTTTGCCCAGCTGTGACATCTCCTTGAAGCAACACACCATTAAAACCAAAATTAATGAGACACGTGGACATCTATTTTCCCCTCCGGTTTTATGTATTTCCCCATGTCATCTCTTTAGACACTGGTGACATCCCTGTAGCTTGGCAAAGGCTGTCTGGCATGATAAAAGGCCTTCGATTTCCACATCGCTGCTACTTCTCAGCAAAGGCAACAGAGCCAAACACAAAGCCTCGGGTGACAGGGGTTAACGAGGGCCTTGCCAACTTCAGACAAAGCAGTTTTAAGCATTGGAAAGCATCTCCAAAACTGTGCTGTGCTTCAGGGCTGTAAATTAAGAATTCTGTCCCTAAAACAAGGGAAGAACCAACACTGGCAGAGAAAGGAAAAAGACAGTCACTTTAAGGTTACCTGAGAGTGCACGAAGTAGGCCTGACTGAGGGACACCTCTGAATGCCAACAGCTAGAGACAATGCAAGAACCACAAAAGGGAGCATGAAAAAGTCTAACTTGCTTAAAAAGAAATACAATCAGCCAACTATGGGAGAACACTCCAGCTCTGCTTTGGCTTCCTAAATTTTACAGAAACCTATTGCACGGAGTAGGTAGGTACCCAGCAGGTATTATCTGGTCATCCCAAAATACTAGGTACAAAGTTGGTGGCAAAAAGTTCCCTTGTTTAGGGAAGAGGATACCTCTCTAGAAGAGCACAGCAGCTGCTGAGTCCAGCTGCCAGCAGTGGTGTGCTCCAGAGGAGGAAGGGCTGGGAGAAACACACATGATAGGGACCTGCCAGACGCTCAGGTGGAATGATTTCTTCAGGAGGGGCACAGCGAGGAAGCTCCTCACTACAAATGCTACAGGGAGGTTCCTGTGCTTGCGAGTTGATCTACAGATGCCTTTCCTCCAGCACCGCAAAGGGACGGAGTTTAATCCAATTATTGAGGGTTTCAGATCCACATCTAGTTGTGCTCTACTCTTGTCCTAGTCTTCTGATCCTTTGCTGGACCTGTTCATTTAAGTAAACACTCTTGAAGGCATCATGAAGGTCTCAAAAAGGAAAAAAAAAGAGATGGACCCCATACTTCCATCAGGACCCCATACTTCTGATCCTTTGCTGGACCTGTTCATTTAAGTAAACACTCTTGAAGGCATCATGAAGGTCTCAAAGGAAAAAAAAGAGATGGACCCCATACTTCCATCAGGAAGTAAGGCTATTTTTAAGTATGAAACACAGAAATACCTTTCCATGCGTGTGCAGCCATCTAGCAGAGGTTACAGCCCTGACTGTTGCTAGAACCTGTCTAACTTCTGGTGGAAGAAAGCAGTTGATCTATAAAACACAAATGCATGCATTTGAGAATTCCTTAAAATAAGGAAGAAAATGCAAGAAGGAACAAGTACTTTGCATTTACGCAGCCTAATCATATCAGTTACACACATTTTGTCCACCTGAAGGCTCATTCAAAAGAGTGTCGCCATAAGACTGAAGCAATATGAAAGGTTCAGATCACACTTCAGTTAACTCAAAAACAACCGGGAACATTAACCAGGTAAAGACAGCACAATGTCCACACCAAAGGATGCGGAAGATGGTGCTCTCCTCAAACTCAGGTGTTTGGTGGGGGTGAAGGAAGGAACTACGCAGGCACAAAAAAGGGCAGAGATGAACTGAGTAGCTGTTTCTAATCAGGACTAGCAGTGACAACAAGAGAGGCACACAGACATCCCATGCTTCCCCACTACGGATTGTAGTAATTACACTACATAAACATAGTCCATGGTCTTGTCAGACCTCTACCTGGAATCCTGTACAGACTCAACTCTCCATGCAGGCACAAAAAAAAGTTAAGATAGGTAAAGCTACAGACACAGGAAGTGACAGCGTGAGCTTTACTGGGTAGCCTTTAAAACCCAAAGAAGCTGCTCCTTCACCTCTCTGCTCCTGATCATCTGCTCTGCTACAACCCAGCTACAATTTAATTTCAGAGGAAGGCACGAGCAGATCAGGAGTGCCAGGCTGTCAGTGAGCGCACGGCTGGCTTTTAAGTCCAACTCCCTTACGTAGTAGCCTTTCCCCTTGAGATATTTTAAATTAAAATCCAAGCTGATATAGGAAGAGATCACATCCCATCCTCTTTATTGAACGGAGGGAGCCAGCATTCCTCCTCTCATTAGGCATGCGCTACGTGGATTGCTTGCGAGAGACTCTCCTTAGTGCCAGAGGTTCATGCCAACGAACAGTTTAGTAAATCCTCCTCTTCAAGGCCAAAGGGCTGAGTGTAAGAAAGGGGCCAGGTTTCTAGCTAAAATTACATTCACCAATAAAGCTCACAAGAGGTCAAATTTTGCCATAACTCACTCTCTCCTCAGTAACTGATTTCCCCGTCACTGGGGAAGGAGCAAAAGAAGGAGGAAAAATAAAATGTGTTTGTCTGGGAGCCCTAAGGGCTTGCAGTGCTGGAGGTGCAGAGCTGGTTCCTGGATTCTCATTTATCAACCTTAAAAGGGATGGAGTGATAAATGCACAACCGGCCCTTTAATATTTTATGCAGGTGCTAAAGCGACTTAGCTGTCACCTTCAATACATCACCAGAGGCTGATACACCAGCTTTCGTCACTCCAGGCTGGGAATTTTTACAATTTCATTTCTATTTCCCTCTCTTCACATATTTCCACGTATTTCTTACTATGTGTAACATATAAAAAGCTATTTTCCCCAAATGATCTCCCCATTCTACCCATTCCTACTCATTCTCTCTTCAGCCACATTTCTTGAGCAAGAAATAAGGCCACGCTTTTGTTTGAGATTTGCTCAAATTTTGACTCTCATCACTCAAGAGAGGCAGAAGGCTGAAACCACTTTACATTCTGGCAAAGACTGAAGGTCCTGCCCATTGTGAAAGGCAAATCTCTAGGTCCCTCCCTTTAAAGACAGGCAATGATCAGCTTCCACAGCAGAATGATTTACAAGGGCCCCCAAAACACTGGCGCACCTCGAAATCCTCCCTCCAGGAGAGTAGTAGCCCGTATCCTCTTCTGCCCGCACCATTCGTACTCTTCAAAGCGGTTGCCGTTCTCATTCTCGATGTCCACAGAGTCATCCTCGGTCATGCATGAACCTTCTCTCTGCACAGGGTAAAGCAGGGGCAGAGTGTTGAGATGCACGAAATTGGCTCTTTGGGGTTAATAACTTGGGGTGGGTTGGAGAAGAAAATCTGGACTGTTCCCAGGACAGCTAAGTATAGAGCGGACAGTAGCATCTACTCCCGCCCCCATTCCCAGTGAACTAAACATAGAAGTAAATGGGCACTGGCAGAACTTGACCACCTTAAGATCAAATCAAGGTGCAAGGTTCATCATTTTTACACAAGAAATTTAAGCAATGGTTCCTATTACAACACTGGTGTGCACTGCAACATGCATTCCTCTACCTTGCATGCACAATTTCCCTATCATGTAAACCACAGACTCCTTTGACC